CTGTGTGTGTCCTTCTTACTGGACAATGAACCAGTCTTAGAAAATATGAAGCAGACAAACTGTGTGTGTGTGTGCATGCGTGTGTGTGCGTGTGTGTACGTGTGTGTGGCTTTCATACTGACGTTTGGATCCACGATTGGTTTACAACTATGAATAAGTAGCACCCTATACCAGGGTTTCCGCTAGGATTTTTTCTCGCCGGTCAAATGTCCGGGCAGAATTTATTTTACCGGACAAATTTGAAACTGACCGGTCATATTTCAATAATAATAATAAGAGTTGTGTAGCAGAGTTTCCGTTAGCAGGTAATTACCGGACTATGAGCAGATATGCTTCAGTTTAAAACTCAGTTAATGGGCTCATTTTTATATTGCTTCAGTCTATAATCGTAACGGATCGAAAAATTCAGATCCATTTTTCAATAAATGATTCCACAAACAACAAACAACATAATTATTACATTCAAACAAACTACTTGTAGTAGATGAAGTACATTATTCAAAAGTTTACATTAACTTTGAATAATAACACGGGAGAAACGGATGCTCTCTTTTCCCCTCTCCCTCCCTCTCTCTCCTGACAGCCCGTCAGTTTCTCATGCAGCTCCTGCAGCTCGCTAAACAGAGGGCGGGGCTTCAGGTGATTATGCAGAGCTGCGTGTCTCGGTCAGACTCAGCAGCTGATCTGATCTCTCTCGCGTGTCCGGTTATACTTCACTCGCGTTTATGTCCATATCGATCAGATCCAGCTCTCCTGATCGTTCTTTATAGAGAGCACCGATCAAACTATTAAGAGTGAATATCGGCCGATAATGACCGGTGGCCGATCTATCGGAGCCTCCCTAATTATTACCAGACATTTTGACCGACAGGTTTTGAATTTACCGGTTTTTAATAAATTGTACCAGCTAAAAACCGGTAATTACCGGCTAACGGAAACCCTGCCCTATACAATGGATTACATCCTCAGGATGCAAGAAACAACGTAATCAGATTACTGATGGAGCTCTGATCTGATTTTAAATGCCTTTTTCTTAATGTCTTTCATTTTTTGTAAAGCACTTTGAATTGCCTTGTGTTGAAAAGTGCTTAAAAAAAAAAAGTGCATTTCTAAAACTGTTGGATTACAATCAGGATTACAGTGTTAGTAAAAAGTAAAAAGAGCAGATAGTGTTTGTTGTTAAAGGATCAGATGTTCTCTCTTCTCTGTCAGCTGTTCTGTTCTCTAATACTTTCAGTGTGGATCTTCTGCTTCATGGTTTCCACTTTCTTTGCTTCATTTGTTCTGTTTTTAATTCAGCAGGTGACCCTATGTCATCAGTGTGTGTGAGCTTCACTGTGTGTATGAAACTCAAACGAAGCATTTCCTGTACACTCAGATGTAATGTAATGTAGCCTGTGCTCGTGTGTTTCACTGTTGGTGTGTAGGCTGAATCTGCTTCATTAAAGGCAGGTTTCCAAATCAATAAAATCATTTCTGATCCTAAATATCTTTCTTTTCTAAGGTCACATTGTTCTGTCGTCTTCAGTAAAAACACATCTCACTGATATCCCTCTTCTCTAGCATTGCATTTGATATTGAGGTCTTCCAAATCCAGAATCAGGCTGTATTACTTGTTGGGACTCAGATAAGGTTACTGATTACCTATTGTTACAGGTAACTAGTAATTGTTACATTTGTATAGTAACCCTGCTAATCCTGTGTGAGGATGAATATAATAAAGCTTTATTACTACAGTGTACTAGCAGCTCCCCCCTCTGCACAAACAAGGGACATACCCAGTGGCGACTGGTCATTAGGGGCAGGTGGGGCACAGCCCCACCTAGTGTCAGCAGAAAGTATTAAAAATAATGATTACAAAAAAATGCAAAAAATAAATTAAAAAATATATTAAATATATTTTAAGATCATGGTTAATCATCTGATTCGTCTGTACATTGCTGTTTTAGTCTGTGTTCTTCTAATTAGTGTCTACAGTGTGTGCCTATTGAGCTGTTTAGAGCCATGTGGGACAAAACCCGATCCTGCCCCTCCCTCTCCCTGTTTAAGTCAATGGTGACTGTAAAAACTACACTGCGCATGCTCAGAGTATTGTCCTATTTAATGTGTGTGGCAAAAAAATAATGACCATAGGGGCATAGAGCTGCCATCCCCACCATACGTCATCTCACATAATTCAGAGCTGATTGGCTGTAAGTACGTGTGCCGCGAAAAGTGTGGTGTGTGAAGAGGAGGAGAGAGAGCTGCAGTGAGGCGTCCTACAACCCGGAAATAAACTGCGCATGGCTTCCCTCCACAAAAAAGCAATGATATTTCTCCATAGGATTTTAGAAAATAGCTCCAAATAAGATCTGTGGGAAACAAACCTGTTAGATAAATGCACGTTTTGTTCAGCCGGATAATATCCACATGTCTACCCTACTTTTATAATTTTCGAATCATAAATCTATTGATTAGATCAGATTTATGATAGACTTTTGAAACTACAAGAACATAAGGAGGACTTTTACAAAAAAGTAATAGAGATTTTTGTCCAGAAGGATAGGCAAATGGACTTCATCTTCATGTCAAGGTAAGACTGCAATTTTACCACCGCGATGAAAATGGGATCTTACTAAGAGAGAACAATTCAATATTTAAATGATACAATTACATTTTTTGGGTATCCTTTTGTTGAACTGTCTGTTTAAAATTAATTGAAGCATCAGACAAAAAAAGCTTTTGAAAATAATATTATATTTTGATTTAGGTCAAAATATAATATTTGTAAACCTGAAGAGTCAGAGCCTCACCAGCCATGAACCTCACTGCAGAAGCTTATATATAGACATCTAAGTTTTTTGTGCCCCACCACTTTTGTACATATAAAAACGCCACTGGACATACCACAAAGCAATGGAATAGAATCAACCCCTCTTTAATGGTCTCACATGCATCTAACCCATCCTAGTGCCAGGAGTCTAGTAGGAGCAGTGGGCAGCAGTGTTTCCGCCAGACCAGGGCTGAGAGGGCGTCCACCCCGAGAGCTGGGGGGGTGCTTGAATTTTGACTTGAGCCGTCCCTTAGATACCGTCTTTTTACGTTAGTGAGTTGATCATTTGGCTCGGCTCTCTTAAAGCGCCGTCTGTTTCGGCTCCCAAGCGGCTCTTCATGTTACCACAGTTTACCACGGAGCCTCAGTTTCGCCGCTGCGAGGCTCTGGTGCTCGCAGCTCACGCGCATGCTCCACTAAACCCCCCCCCCCCGCTCATCGCGTCCAAATCGTGCAGGTTCCGTGTTGTCCTGTCGCAGGCACCTTCGATGTCGGGGAAACGATCTTCAATACTCCGAAAAGAATCCCACCAGACTCCTTTGCTCCTCCAACAGAGGGATGTCCTTTTTCCTTTTCGTCATTTCAAGCGATAAAAACTCTCGATCTCTCGAATTATTAATATTTGTGGACGCCCTCGGCTCGGCGCGTCCCGAGCTGAATAAGGGTGTCAAATGACGGCAAGACGCCCCCCTGGCGGAAACGCTGGTGGGCAGCTAGTGTACAGCGCCCGGGGAGCAATGGGAGTGGGGGGGAAGGGGGATGTCCGATGCCTTGCTCAAGGGCACCATGGCAGGGCAGGAGGTGAACTGGGACCTCTCCAGGTAGCAGTCCACACTCCATATGTTAGGTCTGTTCGGGGACTTGAACCGGCGACCCTACGGCTCACAGTCCAAGCCCCTAGTGAGCAAATCCACATCAGAGCTCCCTGTAACGCCATGTTCGCTGAATTAGATTAGTTTTTTCTGACCCCGAAGTGAAGGCAGCGCGCTGACAGGTGGATTTATTGACTTTTATGGAGCAACGTTTACAGAATTGGTCAATAATGTGACGTTCAGCCAAGATCAAAGTCCCTGGATGTCCCACATTTCACTAACCTCAAGTAAACAAATGAAAACAAGGTGTTCTCGCTTGTATTAAGTCAAACTAATCTGCCAATAGAGCAAGTGAACATCTGCTTGGTAAGATTTCCTGAAATAGGATGGGATATTTATTTATACACTGCCGGACGAATGGTATTATTAAAATAAATCAGGGTATGTTTGTCTGCTCGTTGCTTAAAACATCCAGTATACATAACATGGAAAACTAAGGACACCCACCTCTGTATCTAAAGTCTGAGTTGCATCAGATCACGACAAAAACTTTGAATCTTGCCAAGTATAGTCGTCTCATTTCTAGTCAGAGTGTGTCTTTACACTTGATATAAGACCTGCTAACTTAAGAAGGAACGAGGCAGGGAGATATAGGGTCTTGTTTTTAAGACACCTTACTTCTCAGATGAAGCGTTTTATTTTAAATTGTTATCACAAATCACAAAGCAGAACACTTTTGAGCATTTGTGGCTAACTTTCTAACACAACATTTCCTGATTCTGGTCAAAGCCCCAACTGACTGGAATACTTGACCTGCTGCCATTAGATCTCTGTCATCATTGGGTTTATTTCAACATGCATTACCATCTCACTTTCAACCGGTCTGCACTTGTTATTAACTGATATTGATGAAACTGATATTGATGAAACTGATTTGCTCGACTGTCTCAAATTGTAATGATTGTATGCATTGCTTGAATTTTACTTCACAGACTGTATGTGGTTTGTCTTGTGTGTCATGTTTTGCATTTTGTCTTTTTGTTTATGTATAGTTGTTGCTATTGTCGGGACCCCCTTGAAAACGAGATGGTGCATCTCAAGGGGTTTATCCCAATCAATAAAAATGTCTATATATATAGTTCAAAAGTAGTTTTCCCAGCTAATTACAAGATCTGATTAAAATAAATATCCCATCCTATTTCAGGAAATCTTACCAAGCAGATGTTCACTTGCTCTATTGGCAGATTAGTTTGACTTAATACAAGCGAGAACACCTTGTTTTCATTATGTGTTTACTTGAGGTTAGTGAAATGTGGGACATCCAGGGACTTTGATCTTGGCTGAACGTCACATTATTGACCAATTCTGTAAACTTCGCCCAATAAAAGTCAATAAATCCACCTGTCAGCGCGCTGCCTTCACTCCGGGGTCAGAAAAAACTAATCTAATTCAGCGAACATGGCGTTACAGGGAGCTCTGATGTGGATTTGCTCACTAGCAGGTAATCTCACGGGTGTAGATCATAAAGGAGAACATGTATACTGAAGAACAAGACATGTAAATGTGTGTGTGTGTGTGTGTGTGTGTGTGTGTGTGTGTGTGTGTGTGTGTGTGTGTGTGTGTGTGTGTGTGTGTGTGTGTGTGTGTGTGTGTGTGTGTGTGTGTGTGTGTGTGTGTGTGTAGTCTTGTCCTCCTGTGCAGCTCAAGATGAGACTTTACAGTGCGGATACAATAGGCTGACGTCTAATCTCAAGGTAAACTGTGGATGTTTTTACCGTCAGAAAAGCGTTAAAGTGCACAAATCATTATTAGTTTTCCATTTCGTACCGTACACTGTCTGTGGTGCCGTCTCTCTTTTGTTTTGTCACTTTTTAACCCGTTACTGTTGCTGTGCTTCATCTGTCACTTATATTGTCACAATTTTACTTTCTTTTATTGCAGAATTCCTTTATTTGTGAGATATTTAAAAATATTCTTACATTATTATTTTCCTTAGAAAACAAGTATCCTGTCCCGGTATTATCTCAGTCTGTAGGGGGAACTGCATGGTCACTGGTTTAAGTCCACGTATGCACCAAGAAATACAATGAAAAGTGGACTGATAGCTGCAGATGTGATCCAGGAAGTGGAAAAATGCTCCTTTGCTAAGCCACCTTTCTGTTATTGCATTCTTGTGTGTATAAGTCTTGTGCATGTGTGAATGTCCACTATAACTGTATAATAACAACAGAGTAACGGCCCGTCCACACAGCGGCGTGCGTTGACGCTTGGAGCTGGGCGTGTCTGAAGCTTGGGGATTTTTTGCGAGCAACGCGACCAACAACCAATCACATGAATCTCCCGCCCCCGACATACAAAGCAATAGCAATGTTAAAACGAAGTAAACTGGATATAAAATCCCCAAACAGGCGAAAACCTACCAGATTCACCCACTGTCTCTGCCACCTCTCCCTCCATGCCCTCGCTCCTTCCGGTTTGTTATCCCTGTAGATGAACAGAGACTGATCGTACAGCACCGGGTGATTCACTTCCGCTATAATGAATTTTCCTCCCTTTTTTTGGAATATGAGGGAAATGACCTGCGTAGTCTCTCCCAGCATACACAACGGTTTGATTGGCTAGCGCTTGTACTGGCAGATTTGCAATAAACGGGATTTCATTGGCTGACGCCCTCCGTCGAGGCCGTCAAAAGTTGAACATTGCTCAACTTTTGAAGCGAGCAACGCTCCACGTCGCTTCCCAAAATGCAGTTCGGCTAAAAGTGACGTCACCCCATTCAAAGTGAATGGGCAGAAGCGTTGGAAGCGTCAACGCACGCCGCTGTGTGGACGGGCCGTAATAAAGCATGTGTTGTTCTTCTACTCACCACCAGGAGGCGGTAGAGTGTGACGACAGCCTGCTGCTTTCCTGGAGATCAGAGGAGAGAGCTGGCCTGCTGCTGAACCTGAGGAACCTGACAGACAAACTGTACAAATTCCAGCTGAGAGGTAGCAACATATTTAGGATCAGAAATGATTGTAGTGATAGGAAAACCTTTCATTCAGCTTTCAAGTCTTTCAAGTCTACATTTGGAAAATAAGTCAGATGCTATACTATATCTGATAGGGCTGCTCGATTATGGCAAAAATCATAATCTCGATTATTTGGGTCAATAATTGATATCACGATTATTAAATTCCATTTACTTTGAAAACATCAATTTATTGGAGAAACACAGTATGTTTTTAACAGTTGATACCCTGACATTTAAGTATAATTCAACTGAAAAACTAAAACAAAAAATTAATAATAATAATTTAAAAAATCGTTTTAATTCGATTACGTTGTTTTCGTAATCGTTGCAAGCCATAATCGTAATTGCGATTAAAATACGATTAATTGAGCAGCCCTAACATCTGACTTATATAACGGAACAGAACAGCTTCGAGACAGACAAGCTGATCCAAGTCTGAGTTTTACATTTTTGGGATACAGATTTTTTTCTCAAAAGTGAGATTTGTGTTAGAAAAACGTGAGATTTAGAAAAAAAAGGTGAGAAAATAAATTTCTGTTTTAAAAAAATTGAGAATTTGAACAACATTTACATTTTTTATTTTGTTCTCGCATTTTGCAAAAAAAGTCAGAATTGTAGGAATGAACTCTTTAATCACATTCATCTCTGTGGCTTCTCTTGTAAGTCTGAAATTGGCTGAATAAAAACATGCTCCTTGGGCACGCTAAAGGCCTAAGGGATAATTAAATGGCTGATATGAAAATAAAAACTAAATCTAACCGGTTCAATGTTCAATTTCATATTCATTAAATAATCATTGATTTACAGAATGCCAGGGTGCAGAGCCAACGAACTGTACTCAAGCTGAAGTGCCAGAAGATGGAGGGTTGCTGTGCGTCACAGTGAGCGACAAGCGCTACTGCAAGCCTATGTGCAACCATGTAAGTGGAATACAACAATACATGTCTGTTGTAAGTAGAAATGTGTATTGTAATGTCATTTTTCTTTCACAGGGTTACGATTTTAGTTTCCTCAGGAGGAGTCGGGTGTATGAAGAGTGCAGTGAGCAGACTGGGTTTAAATGGCAGAGTCAGTTCATTGGAGGAAACAAACTGGCCGTGTGCCACAGTAAGAAAGTGTTTTATCAACTACTTGTTATAACTTTTTGTTTAAGTTCAAAGCAGGAACACATAATGCTTTTTGTGGTTATCCCCTTTCCTGTAGTGTGTCATATCGGTTTGTGTGCATGTACATGGTCTGCAAAGGCTAAAGTCCCTGTGTTCCCTCCAGAGGGACTTCAGCAGGAGAGGACTCTTTAAAGTAGAGACACTACATACTGATATACACCTGAACATCAGCAGGAGAGGACTCTTTAAAGTAGAGACACTACATACTGATATACACCTGAACATCAGCAGGAGAGGACTCTTTAAAGTAGAGACACTACATACTGATATACACCTGAACATCAGCAGGAGAGGACTCTTTAAAGTAGAGACAACTACATACTGATATACACCTGAACATCAGCAGGAGAGGACTCTTTAAAGTAGAGACACTACATACTGATATACACCTGAACATCAGCAGGAGAGGACTCTTTAAAGTAGAGACACGACATACTGATATACACCTGAACATCAGCAGGAGAGGACTCTTTAAAGTAGATACACTACATACTGATATACACCTGAACATCAGCAGGAGAGGACTCTTTAAGTAGAGACACTACATACTGATATACACCTGAACAGTCAGCAGGGAGAGGGACTCTTTGAAGTAGAGAGACACTACATACTGATATACACCTGAACATCAGCAGGAGAGGACTCTTTAAAGTAGAGACACTACATACTGAATATACACCTGAACATCAGCAGGAGAGGACTCTTTAAAGTAGAGACCTACATACTGATATACACCTGAACAATCAGCAGGAGAGGACTCTTTAAAGTAGAGACACTACATACTGATATACAACCTGAACATCAGCAGGAGAGGACTCTTTAAAGTAGAGACACTACATACTGATATACACCTGAACATCAGCAGGAGAGGACTCTTTAAAGTAGAGACACTACATACTGATAGACAACCTGAACATCAGCAGGAGAGGATCTTTAAAGTAGAGACACTACATACTGATATAACACCTGAACATCAGCAGGAGAGGATCTCTTTTAAAGTAGCAGAGAGCTACATACATACTGATATACCCTGAACATCAGCAGGAGAGGAACTCTTTAAAGTAGAAGACACTACATACTGATATACACCTGAACATCAGCAGGAGAGGACTCTTTAAAGTAGAGACACTACATACTGATTACACCTGAACATCAGCAGGAGAGGACTCTTTAAAGTAGAGACACTACATACTGATATACACCTGAACATCAGCAGGAGAGGACTCCTTTAAAGTAGAGACACTACATACTGATATACACCTGAACATTCAGCAGGAGAGGACTCTTTAAAGTAGAGACACTACATACTGATATACAACCTGAACATCAGCAGGAGAGGACTCTTTAAAGTAGAGACCTACATACTGATATACACCTGAACATCAGCAGGAGAGGAACTCTTTAAAGTAGAGACACTACATACTGATATACAGCCTGAACATCAGCAGGAGAGGACTCTTTAAAGTAGAGACACTACATACTGATATACACCTGAACATCAGCAGGAGAGGACTCTTTAAAGTAGAGAAACTACATACTGATATACACCTGAACATCAGCAGGAGAGGACTCTTTAAAGTAGAGACACTACATACTGATATACACTGAACATCAGCAGGAGAGGACTCTTTAAAGTAGAGACACTACATACTGATATACACCTGAACATCAGCAGGAGAGGACTCTTTAAAGTATAGACACTACATACTGATATACACCTGAACATCAGCAGGAGAGGACTCTTTAAAGTAGAGACACTACATACTGATATACACCTGAACATCAGCAGGAGAGGACTCTTTAAAGTAGAGACACTACATACTGATTATACACATGAACATCAGCAGGAGAGGACTCTTTAAAGTAGAGACACTACACACTGATATACACCTGAACATCAGCAGGAGAGGACTCTTTAAAGTAGAGACACTACATACTGATATACACCTGAACATCAGCAGGAGAGGACTCTTTAAAGTAGAGACACTACATACTGATATACACCTGAACATCAGCAGGAGAGGACTATTTAAAGTAGAGACACTACATACTGATATACACCTAAACATCAGCAGGAGAGGACTCTTTAAAGTAGAGACACTACACACTGATATACACCTGAACATCAGCAGGAGAGGACTCTTTAAAGTAGAGACACTACATACTGATATACACCTAAACATCAGCAGGAGAGGACTCTTTAAAGTAGAGACACTACATACTGATATACACCTGAACATCAGCAGGAGAGGACTCTTTAAAGTAGAGACACTACACACTGATATACACCTGAACATCAGCAGGAGAGGACTCTTTAAAGTAGAGACACTACATACTGATATACACCTGAAAAGGAACATACTACTGTATGGCCTCTTCAAATATTTTGATTCCTTCACTATGTTTTATAACTTTCGTATGTCTTAAAAAAATGAAAGACACATATATTTACACAGTGCCACTAAAGTAGACCCTCATTTTATTCTTCTGTATTTCTAGAAGCACACATCCAGGTGTCAGGAGCAGCATCAGCATATTTCTCTGAAGCTCAGGACTGCCTGACAACCAGGAGCAACAGCAGCCTCAAAGAGAGCGCCATCATGAGGGGTTTTATGTCTGAGCTGAAGAGCGCTGGTGTTCAGGGAGAGGCTGAGAACAGCTGTCTTCTATGTGGACAAACAAGAGTCAGTGATTTATTAACTTAAATAAACATGTTCCAGAACCAGAATCCTTTGCATTTTTGAGTTTCAGTATATTGTTGATCAGTGGCAAACAAAAGTGTATTATACTTTTCATTTTAGGTAGGTTTAATCTCCACATTATGATTTCTGAATTAAAAAGCTAATGTTGGGCTATAAAAGAACTACAGCCCGATCACATGACTTCACGTCACCACCGCTAAACTAAAGGCGGCTAATGTTGGGCTATAAAGGAACTACAGCACGGTCACATGACTTCACGTCACCACCGCTAAGCTAAAGGAGGCTAATGTTAGGCTATAAAGGAACTACAGCACGGTCACATGACTTCACGTCACCACCGCTAAGCTAAAGGTGGCTAATGTTGGGCTATAAAGGAACTACAGCACGGTCACATGACTTCACGTCACCACCGCTAAGCTAAAGGAGGCTAATGTTAGGCTATAAAGGAACTACAGCACGGTCACATGACTTCACGTCACCACCGCTAAGCTAAAGGTGGCTAATGTTGGGCTATAAAGGAACTACAGCACGGTCACATGACTTCACGTCACCACCGCTAAGCTAAAGGCGGCTAATGTTGGGCTATAAAGGAACTACAGCACGGTCACATGACTTTACGTCACCACCGCTAAGCTAAAGGCGGCTAATGTTGGGCTATAAAGGAACTATAGCACGGTCACATGACTTCACGTCACCACCGCTAAGCTAAAGGTGGCTAATGTTGGGCTATAAAGGAACTACAGCACGGTCACATGACTTCACGTCACCACCGCTAAGCTAAAGGTGGCTAATGTTGGGCTATAAAGGAACTACAGCACGGTCACATGACTTCACGTCACCACCGCTAAGCTAAAGGAGGCTAATGTTGGGCTATAAAGGAACTACAGCACGGTCACATGACTTCACGTCACCACCGCTAAGCTAAAGGTGGCTAATGTTGGGCTATAAAGGAACTACAGCACGGTCACATGACTTCACGTCACCACCGCTAAGCTAAAGGTGGCTAATGTTGGGCAATAAAGGAACTACAGCACGGTCACATGACTTCACGTCACCACCGCTAAGCTAAAGGTGGCTAATGTTGGGTCATAAAGGAACTACAGCACGGTCACATGACTTCACGTCACCACCGCTAAGCTAAAGGAGGCTAATGTTGGGCAATAAAGGAACTACAGCACGGTCACATGACTTCACGTCACCACCGCTAAGCTAAAGGTGGCTAATGTTGGGCTATAAAGGAACTACAGCACGGTCACATGACTTCACGTCACCACCGCTAAGCTAAAGGAGGCTAATGTTGGGTTATAAAGGAACTACAGCACGGTCACATGACTTCACGTCACCACCGCTAAGCTAAAGGTGGCTAATGTTGGGCAATAAAGGAACTACAGCCCGATCACATGACTTCACGTCACCACCGCTAAGCTAAAGGTGGCTAATGTTGGGTCATAAAGGAACTACAGCACGGTCACATGACTTCACGTCACCACCGCTAAGCTAAAGGAGGCTAATGTTGGGCAATAAAGGAAACTACAGCACGGTCACATGACTTCACGTCACCACCGCTAAGCTAAAGGAGGCTAATGTTGGGCTATAAAGGAACTACAAGCACGGTCACATGACTTCACGTCACCACCGCTAAGCTAAAGGTGGCTAATGTTGGGCTATAAAGGAACTACAGCATGGTCACATGACTTCACATCACCACCGCTAAGCTAAAGGTGGCTAATGTTGGGCTATAAAGGAACTACAGCACGGTCACATGACTTCACGTCACCACCGCTAAGCTAAAGGCGGCTAATGTTGGGCTATAAAGGAACTGCATTTTTGAGTTTCAGTATATTGTTGATCAGTGGCAAACAAAAGTGTATGATACTTTTAATTGTAGGTAGGTTTAATCTCCACATTATGATTTCTGAAGTAAAAAGCTAACGTTGGGCTATAAATGAACTACAGCACGGTCACATGACTTCACATCACCACCCCTAAGCTAAAGGCGGCTAATGTTGGGTGTTATGACGTTTAGTCGTCAGATTTAGACTCTTCTTAGCAACCGCCGCGTTTTAAATCCACCAATGGGGTATTTTCTGACGTATTTGTGGTATATGTGGTAGAACTAAAATCTATTCAGCTTGTGTTAACACAGACCTTATTTCAACCAAAAACACATTAAAAAAAACACTTGAGTGGAAGACGTAGGGACCAGAAAAGTGTAAAATTCTAAATAATGTTCAGGCCATTCTATATCAGATCACAACAGTACTCAAACAAGAAGACTTAAAGGATAAAAGGTGAGGCTCCCTACAGATTAACGGCTGCACTATCATTGATATACAACTACAGAACAGAATTGTAGTATTATTGTTGTATTGTTTTAAGTGTCGGACCCCAGGAAGAGTAGCTTTTGTCAAGAGCAAAAGCTACTGGGGATCCTTAATAAACATAAACAGGACAATTACACCTGCAATTGTCTGGTCGCCATCTTCCCATCTTTCTGCTAGACTTCATTTCACTGACAGTCACTCATTATTTACGTGCTTTATGGAAAGACAAGTTGAACTGAGGTTAACCACTCTGCCAAATGGTCTGCCCTCAGTTTCTGCTAACACTTGCAGGCGCAGCTCAACGAGGTCAAGGTCAAACTGTCAAACTGAAGCTGCAGGATCTCATTAAGCAGCCATTGACATCCCACATGATTCTATTAGGAGTCACTCTAATCAGAGGGAAAATGACCCTCTGCTGTCGACAGCCTAATCATCAATTACTGAAATAACTGTGTGTGGACTGAGGTAAACTGTAATGTCACACAACTACCTTTAGACAGACACATCAACGTCAAAGATTCAAAGGTTTTATTGCCATATACACATAAAAAATAGTGCAAGAAGTCTATATACACTTAAATAGAATATGATATACAAGAACAGAATGTATAATTAAATATTGTACAGTAAGATCAAATGAAATACGGTTTATTGCGGTGATAACTAATTAGATAAATAAGTATTTTGTGTGTTTCTATAATGTTACAACAGACTAATTTTGGGGTGTGTTATATAGGTGTGTGTGCATGTTAACGGTCTGCAAAGGCCAAAATCCCTGTGTTCCCTATCACAGCATTTGTTAAATTTGCTATAACTATAACATGTTTTGTGATTTGTTTGGAGCATGCTGCCCTTTACCTCACCTCATGTGTCCTTGTTAATGGACTGGTCTTGAAGCAGAATATGGTTGTAACATGTTTTTGTTTTGTGTGCCGAATAGGGAAAGCGTTAAAATTGATACAAAATAAAAAGCAGGGGTCTGAGCTCATGCGGGACCCGGCAGCTACCGTCTAAACTAAATGCTGCCGTGATGAAACGCCATATCATGGATATCAAGGATTCTCTCTGAAACAGTTTGGAGCTCAAAGGCTTTCTCTCTTGCCGGTTATACCACAAGGTGAGTTCCTTTTTACTTCCTGCTTCTTCACACACATGCTCTCCAGTACAGGTTAGCTCTGAGTGTTAGCATGCTAATGTAAACACCGACCATATTACGTCCAAAACAGTCGGGCATTGTTTCTGATAGCAACGTTTCTGATTGGCCCGTGGGTCCACATTTCAGATATTACGTCATATCGGACGCAAATCTGGATCAGCTCCGTTGTTCCCCATTTTTAGAGATTTTAGTACGGAGGAAAAGAGAGAGGGTTTTATTTCCTGACGCTGCGTGAGTTCCCCGACACACCGGGGACACATTGATGTATAAGAGACATCAAAGAGTGCATTTTGGATGATAGGTCCCCTTTAAAGTGTTAACTTCTCTAGCCAGATTATTGATTGAAAGTCAAAAAATAGTGTTGGCTTTAATTTTACAGCATATTTTAAAGGTTTTTTTACCCTAAATACCATATCAGTTATTTCATTAAATGAATCAGAAAGTATAATGTTGGTTGCCTTTTCCTATCATGCTATTTTGGATTAAATTCAATGTTGATGCTATTTAAATCCAGTGTGTATAGCAATGTTGCACTTTGTCCACTAGAGGGCAGTACACCACCACTTTGTGAATACCTCCCTTATGTATTTGTTAGTCATGTTCCAATAAATAACATGTAAAAAGGAATATTTATGACTGAAGCAAAGGTATAAACAGATCGGCACATTGTATATAAGCTTGGAAAAGAAACCGGTTTCAACCCTGAGGTCATGCACAGAAAGGAATTTGCTCTTTTCATGTAACTTATTACGGTTTATTATCTCTGTGTTTGTTCCTTCCTGTCCTCTGTCTTCCCTTAACTCCTGTCTATTCATATTCATGTTTGTTTTTACCAGAAGAACCAATATAACCTGTATCATCCTCATCGCGGCTCGCTCTCCTGGCTGCTGTCCAGCTTCTGCTGAAAGAAAAAAACCCAACAAAGGAGAGAAGAAATAGGATGAATATGAATGAGTTCTGAACTTCCTTTTCCCATAGTGTGTATTTCAAAATGATGTGCTACGCATGTGCTTGAAAGATAGTTATCTGCCGTGGTGTGACATGCACATAATGCTGTGTGATTCTGGGAGCATGTGAATAACTTTGTCCATGATTAAACCGTTTTTCTATAAGCTTTGTGGAGAGGCTTTCTTACCGACTTCAGGAAGTGTATCTCTGATCGTAGAGTCTCTCTCAGAAGCTCCGGCTCTCCTTCTTTATGCATCTCCAGCTCCTGCCTCAGCCTAAACAAATGAAACACATGTGAGCAAGTGAAGGAGCGCTGGAGAGGAAAGAAAGAAATACAAATAAACATGAAATGCAAGTTTAAAGAAAGCATCAGCAGTTGTGTTTCTACGTATTGATGCGTTTTCTTTGCTTCACTATACGAGTGCTTTTGTGTTTTACCACTGACAAGAAAACATTTAAATTACACTGAAACCTACTGTATCTTGCACGTTGGTATTCATGTTGATCGTGACAGAATGCCAGTTTGTTTTTGTGACAAGGCCAAATATTGTCACAGTGTTGATCTCTGTAGTCAAGGGAATATAAAAGACTACAAATCCCATGGTGCCTTTAAGAGACATGTGTGGAAGCAGGGTCTATGCAGGAATCCTGAAGTCAAATGTAAGACCTTTTTAAAGACCCTTTCCATACATTTTAAGACCTCATCGCCACTTTGAGTTTTAACCGGTTACCTTGGCGACACACTTCACCTCACATTGACTGTATACAGCATTGATTGTCCTTCCTCCTTATCGTCCAACCATTTGGACGCAGTCTTGCATTTCCCCATAACGATGTTGTTTAACAACCGGCGTAAACGGACCTTCAGATGACGTCAAACCCAACGGGATGCCATCAATAAACTCCACAGAATCACACCACACACCTACGCCATGATTACATTCAGGCGGACTGTAGAACACAACCTCTCTGGACCATTTATATACTTATTGAAAACAAGCTACAAAATGTAACACCTTGGAAAATGCCGTTTAATACTTTAATAGCCTTCATTTTCGCTAAATTGATTTATCAACTTTTAATAACCCCGCGGACTCCCTGGGAAGACACCACAAAGACAACGTTCATTTAATCACTATCTTAGGAGTAACCTTGCTTTTGTGCTTCACCCCAACAATTACACACAACTGAAACCTATTGTTCACATTGACGTTCATCTTGATAGTGACAGAACATTGTTAAAGACAGTTTTTGGAGGGGTTTTGTGACACATATTGTCACCTAGTTTTGAGCAGTGGAGTCAAGGGAATATAAAAGACTACAAATCCCATGGTGCAAGCATTTATGAGACACAGTTATAGGCAACCTGTGTGGAAGACACCACAAATACACCGTTTATTAACTTTAAATGATATGATGTACAACATCATAGAAAGAAAGACCATCTAAATGTGATTATCATCTTATTTGAGTTGTGCCTTTCGTTCGACTCTTGTAAAGGCCTATTTCCTTATTTGAATGTGTGTGAAATATATATTTTTTTGATTAACCACGAGTCCCATAATATCAATGCAGCTTCAGAAACCAAACATGTCGTAATAACTTTGAGTAAAACTAACAAATTGAAAGATAACGCATTTGAAATGTCTGTTTTAAATGTGGCTTAAGGAAACAAAGGAAAGAAGCTCATGCACAATATACAGTATCCCAACTTAGTAGAATAAACTAAGTGTTGGGTTTTATATCAACACATTTCCCTGAAAATGTACATGACTTTTTTGATGTTTTCAGATGTAAACAGCAGGAATTCACACCTTTGTTTACATGGACTAAATCAACACAACTGGAAATACTCTTTAGATTATTTAGACATTTAGGCCCCGTCCACACGGAGACGATTTCAGTTGTATCCGCCAAAGTTCTCTATCGTATAGACAAGGCCGAAACGGAGCCGCGGCTTCGGAGCCCGAAACCGATACACTTTGAAACCGGCTCCCAAAGTGGGTAAGTCTGGAGACGACACGCTTGCGGCTCCGTGTGTACGCCCTCTACGACCTTTTCCTGAATCAATGACGCAATAGCCCCGCCTCCCGCCACCTCTCCTGCTCACCCCCGCGTCACCTGCGTCATTGCTGATGCGTTTCGCCAACAACAACAACAATGGCGAATCACAGGGTTGCGTTCGTGCTCCAGATGCTACTGACCATGATACAGATTTGAGTGCAAATCTACTGCTCCTCTACCACAACCAGCAGCAATGTTCGGGGGGTCTGTTCTTCTGTGCTTTTGGTGTATTTTGTGATGGAAGTACACTTACAGGCCCGGCATATGTACTACAGCGTCTCCAGCGGTTTCGAGCGGTTTCGTGTGGACGGACAAGTTTCTTGAGCCGATTCCGTGTGGACGGAAGACTTTTTTTAAATCGACTTCGGTTCAAAATCGGTTTCGTCTCCGTGTGGACGGGGCCTTAGAAAAACTCCCACATCAGGCGAGTTGTTTGACCGTTAATGTTCACAATGATTTGTTGTACGATACAAGTTACTGAAAGCTCACAGGAAGTAGAGACTTGATGATGTTTGGCTAACACTTGTTCATCCTTCTTCAAACATCTTTATGTAACCTTTGTGACACACCAGCTAGTCGGTACTTAGGGAACAATATCTCCTCTAGATATCCTATTTCAAATGCATATCATACCTGTTTCATTCTTAAATAAACAAGGACTGAACCAGATAATTAACAAAAGCCATGTGAAACAGCTATAGAGGACACTTTTCTTTGCCACACCACAAAAGAAAATATCCTTTTCCACGAACTAAAAACTATTTTTAACATTGTCTGCTCTCACACTATACTTTATAAAAAAAACATGCAATTGAATACTCAGTCGAGATTGCTTTTATTGAAAAACTAAAACATATATTTGATCTCTTGGCTGTGATTGTACGGTTCTGCCAGGTGTTGGAAGGATCTATACCGAGACAAGATACCTCTATATCTCTTTTATTGGAAGTTAATGAAACAATAACACAGCATTGCATTTTCAGTTTGAACACAAACACAAAGCACCGTTTTAAAACATCACACTTCTCTGTGGAAGATCAGATTACAATGTGTTTTTATTTGGCAATTTATTGATTTGTCATCTCCACGGTCATCTGAATATGATGAGTCTTACTCTCGAATGCTGGTTTATTTCTATTTTGAGATGTTTCTATTGTAGAATTGTGTATTTCTAATATTTTAAATTGTACAATGCCTTGTTTTGTTTTATGATGCTGCAACAAAACGTGTTTTTTCCCAAATTTGGGATTAATAAAATACATCTTATCTTAAAAGGCGAGCAGAATGATGTTTCCAACCGAAAGACACCCAGCTTTCTGGATATCAGTGGTTGCTGCCGTTTAATATCACATTTCTGCAGAGCAAAGACATCCTCAAATGAGCCTTCAGGACTAATGCAGCAGTAATATATCAATGAGGAACATCCGACACATCGGAAAATACATACAACTCCTAAATCAGGCACAGCGAGAGGATATTCCAGGTGTCTCTCTCTGTGCTGTGCGACAGTGAATGATGCTCTGCCTGTTTTGCACACTGAACACTTTTTAAATGACTGTAGCACTCGCTCAAATTGACACGCATTCAATTTCAAACAATCAATAAGCGCAGAGTTAAATATGCGTTTTAAAGGGAGGCTGCAGACGGGATTGATGGCTTCGGCTCAGAATGGATGATCATAAGAATGAGTGAGAGGACGCCCTCCCTCAGAAGACTCTTCCTCAGCACTTCCTCAGGCTAATAAGCCCGCCAGTAATGAAGGACCTCGTATGTTTAATGAAGCTGAAGGATGAGCACGACATGCTTCCAACATGCATGATTTAGGGCGATGCTAGGGGAGGAAACTCAGAGGAGAGACATGAGCAGAACGTGGGGAGGAAGGAAAGGCCGGAGAACGAGAAAGATTATACTATCTTGTCTTCTCATTTTGCTGTAACGCCATCATATACAATGTTTGTTTTTTATCTGTAAAGCCCACTAACGTGTTGTGTGATATTGGGCATTACAAATACAGTTTGATTTGATTTGATGAGGAGAGTTTACTGATGTAAGAAAAGGGGTTTCTCAATAATATAGATTTTTAAGACGCGATTACCATGGATTCAAGAGTTCAAGATATAGAGGTGATTGCTATATCTATAGAACATTGAATACATATACCACGGCCTGTCGTGAGCTATTGCTTGAATATACACCTGAACATCAGCAGGAGAGGACTCTTTAAAGTAGAGACACTACATACTGATATACACCTGAACATCAGCAGGAGAGGACTCTTTAAAGTAGAGACGCTACATACTGATATACACCTGAACATCAGCAGGAGAGGACTCTTTAAAGTAGAGACACTACATACTGATATACACCTGAACATCAGCAGGAGAGGACTCTTTAAAGTAGAGACACTACACACTGATATACACCTGAACATCAGCAGGAGAGGACTCTTTAAAGTAGAGACACTACATACTGATATACACCTGAACATCAGCAGGAGAGGACTCTTTAAAGTAGAGACGCTACCTACTGATATACACCTGAACATCAGCAGGAGAGGACTCTTTAAAGTAGAGACACTACATACTGATATACACCTGAACATCAGCAGGAGAGGACTCTTAAAGTAGAGACACTACATACTGATATACACCTGAACATCAGCAGGAGAGGACTCTTTAAAGTAGAGACACTACATACTGATATACACCTGAACATCAGCAGGAGAGGACTCTTTAAAGTAGAGACACTACATACTGATATACACCTGAACATCAGCAGGAGAGGACTCTTTAAAGTAGAGACACTACATACTGATATACACCTGAACATCAGCAGGAGAGGACTCTTTAAAGTAGAGACACTACCTACTGATATACACCTGAACATCAGCAGGAGAGGACTCTTTAAAGTAGAGACACTACATACTGATATACACCTGAACAACAGCAGGAGAGGACTCTTTAAAGTAGAGACACTACCTACTGATATACACCTGAACATCAGCAGGAGAGGACTCTTTAAAGTAGAGACACTACATACTGATATACACCTGAACATCAGCAGGAGAGGACTCTTTAAAGTAGAGACACTACATACTGATATACACCTAAACATCAGCAGGAGAGGACTCTTTAAAGTAGAGACACTACATACTGATATACACCTGAACATCAGCAGGAGAGGACTCTTTAAAGTAGAGACACTACATACT